CATACATACATACATACATACATACATACATACATACATACATACATACATACATACATACATACATACATACATACATACATACATACATACATACATACATACATACATACATACATACATACATACATACATACATACATACATACATACATACATACATACATACATACATACATACATACATACATACATACATACATACATACATACATACATACATACATACATACATACATACATACATACATACATACATACATACATACATACATACATACATACATACATACATACATACATACATACATACATACATACATACATACATACATACATACATACATACATACATACATACATACATACATACATACATACATACATACATACATACATACATACATACATACATACATACATACATACATACATACATACATACATACATACATACATACATACATACATACATACATACATACATACATACATACATACATACATACATACATACATACATACATACATACATACATACATACATACATACATACATACATACATACATACATACATACATACATACATACATACATACATACATACATACATACATACATACATACATACATACATACATACATACATACATACATACATACATACATACATACATACATACATACATACATACATACATACATACATACATACATACATACATACATACATACATACATACATACATACATACATACATACATACGGAACATCTTCGGCGAAAGATGAACAAGACTGGAAGCCACGGAGTGTAACGGCACTGGAATGAACTAGAATGTACAGCAAATGAGAGGCGTCGGTTCACCTAGGGAGTGCCGTAAGTCTGAGACGGCTGCGTCACGGACTGGGGCGCCGAGGCGGGCTTCGAGGGCAGCGGGATGGGCGCCAAGTTCGACTGAGTCAGTTTGCTGAAGTCGATGGTCGGAAGCGTGATCTTGGGGAGGTTGGGGAGCGTCGGGAGGGCGAGAGGAGGGAGGCTGGGGGGAGGGGGGAGGTTGGCGGAAGTTGCCACTCTCACGACGTCACCCACGCCTGAGCCCACAGCCGAAGCCACGCCTCCGGCGGACTCGATGAAGGCCCCGCCGATGCGCGTGGCGGCGTTGAAGGCCTTTGCGCCCACGTCGAGGCCGGACCCACCCAGGGAAGCGATGATGCGTCCCTTCAGCGCCAGGATATCTTGGATGAGTTTGATGAGGATGTTCATAGTGTCGCTGACGATGGCAGTCTTGGCCTGCAGAATGTCGCCCATGTCGTCGGCGGACTCCGAGAGGACGTCACTAACGGCGTACACGAGGGGCTGCGACGCCTCTATGATCTCCGAGAGCACGCGGGCCTTGATGGCGGGCACCTGCGGGGCGGAGCGCGAGGGGAACCACTTGTTTTATTTACTGATAGACAGACTTATATCAATTTGCCCCTGTATGCATGCTAATGATGGGTATATATATATATATATATATATATATATATATATATATATATATATATATATATATATATATGTTTCTCTAACAGCTCTGTTTGGCTCTGTTCACACCCAGAAAGTTCATGTAAGTTATTGAGCTTTGTCATGACTGGATTTATTAAATCATCAACAAAAAAAATCTAGGTTGGCAAAACAAAAGTCTTATATCCTATTAAGCAAGACCTCTACATAAAAAAGAGACGGTTGGATGTACCTGCAAGAGGACGCGCAGGACGGCGGCGCTGAGCTGACCCGCATACTGCAAGCCGTCGCTGGCTACCCTGGTCGCGGTTTGGATGCCGTTCGATTTGGTGTTCACCAGCCACCTGCGGAGGACATTTCTGTATAGCTGTACGATCAATCTCCTGGAAGTGATTTCCCTTCCAGCACCAGCATGTGATATCTGGACAAATGCGTGTCCTGATTTATTCTACATTGACATTTACGCTATAACAACCTCATGTTGAATCCGAGAGCACCTTCAGATATGAATGACGAATCACGCCACCTTGTTGAGACAACAGCAGAAATCCTACCATAAACAAGGGAAAATTACTGGAAATTGAGGTTCCCCTTCCAATGACCCCCTCCCCCCCCCGCCCCTCAACAACCACATCTCAGGAGGAGCCTTCCTTACCTCACGGCTTGCGCACCGCCGCTCGACACGCTGGCCAAGGTCTGTCCTGCGGAGCTCGCACCGCCCAACAAGCTGCTCAGGTCCGGCTTCGGGGGCAAGGTGGGCAGGGTGAAGGCCGGCTTAGGGGGCAAGGTGGGCAGGGTGACTGGCTGCTTCGGAGGGAGAGTCGGAAGGGTGACGGGCTGCTTGGGAGCCAGGGTGGGGCCGGAGATGCTGAATCCTGAGCTGGACTGGGTGCTGGGAGTGTTGTAGGAGCTGGTGGGAGCTGGGTTGATCACCTCCCCGAAATCCTGGATGGTGTCTCTGGCGGAAGTTCAGGAAGAGGGCAATCGGCAGTTAATATCAGTCGGCGATAAATTATTCAGATAGAATATGAGGTGCTGATAATATGGGTGCATGTAAACGTAACAGCGAAACAAAGATAATCAGTTCTTTCAGTATATCATTTTATGTCACTAATAATGTGCCAGGGAAATGGCAGGCGTTGCAGAGATTCAGGTCATTCCAGGTCACGGCAAGTCAGTCTTGATGGCAAGGCAGTCCTAAAGTGTAACCTGCGGTCTTTCTGGAGTAATATCTGGTCAGTCCTGTAGGGTAACTTCAGGAAAATTTTGGCGAATGATTTCAGATTAGTCTCGACGGGTAACTTCAGATTAATTTTGGTGCGTAATTCTGGTCAGTCTTGACGGTTAACTTCAGGTCATTCTTGACTGACGAAGGCACTCAAGTATGTCACTCGTAAGCCCTCTTAGCTTGATGAATAAAAACTGACAGGCTTCTTGGGTAAAACTGGGTTAATCTTAACTTGATGTGTAAGGTCAAAGCAAGCAAAACTTGATATGGAAGGCAAATCCATTCTTGAATCAGGCAACCGAATTAGACACAAAAGAAGATAGGCCTATACATAACGAGAACCATAAAATCCCCATTGGATATAAGGCAGTTTAAATCGACGTTTCAAAATAAAGACCAAGGCAATGTCATTAGTAAAGCATTTAACTCCATTTAAAAATAAACCTAATATCATGATAATGACTGACCTTCCTTGCAGAATTGGAGATATAACAATAATTTGTTAAAAACCCTAATCAGATGCATCAGAGGCGAAGAAAACTATAACAATGGACAAAGTGTTTTTTTAAGAATGGATATGTATTGCAGCTATCTGTATCAACACAGAAAAAGTTACATGGGAATTGCTGTTAAATGTAAATGAGGCTAATAATGATGGCAGTCATAATAAACAGAGCCGTCCTTGTGTGTTGCAGATGTCGGTTGACGCATTCACTTGCAGATTTCCGTTTCTTTAATGCATTCTTGTGTGTACGCAACAACCCAGCCACCCACACAAACACGCGCACACACACACACACATATGAGTGTGTGTATGTATACATATATATATATATATATATATATATATATATATATATATATATATACACATACACACGCGCGCGCGCGCGCGCGTGTGTGTGTGTGTGTGTGTGTGTGTGTGTGTGTGTGTGTGTGTGTGTGTGTGTGTGTGTGTGTACACGCACGCACATTTGTGAACAACAAATACTCACGTGCGAGATGTCATAAGATACTTCATAAAACTGCAATTTATGAATAAACGGAACGAAACACGAGTTTAGTGAGAAAATATTTCTGCATCTCACGCTGAAGGTACAAACTGCATGTTTAGCTTTGCTTTTTTCTGCACTTTTTACATGAAGCTGAAATCTGCGAGAGAATGCGTCTTTCGAAACTTTACCGAACCATGAATCAAATGCCTGGATATGCACTAGCTAGACTGTTCTAGAAGATCTAAGAAGACAATGATAATAATAATAATAAAAAGACTACAAAGGAAATATATACATTAGAAGCGTGTGTATGAAGAGAACAGGCTGAAGAGACAGAGAGAAAAGAAGTTAGATAAAGACAGTGAAGGTAGTACTCACGCCTGCACCACGAAGCCGCCGCCATTGTTGTTGTCCCCAAATGATATGCTGTTGGGCAGAAGATGTTATATTATCTTACAAACATCTATAAAAGGGAGTGAGTCATGTGGCATCACCATTACGTAGGGAGAGTCCGCTTTGGGGAGTAACGGTTCTGTACCTTGTTTACACGTTCATGTTTCCCGTTGTTTGACTTTCAAATTTTGACGGCTTTTGATGGTTTCCACTCGTAAAAGGCAAAGCTTTATAGGTATCAACCGGTAATGAAAGAATAAAAGTCACATTGCTATCTGGAAACAGCTGTTTTAGTACATGGTTAATGACGGTTGATTATATATCTGATGCAACAGTTTCCCATATATTTCATTCCGAGGATTCTCAAGCATCTGCATGAGCAACTGCCTGTTATAGGATGGCAAAGAAATTAATGCTCGTTTGCAACATTAACCACAATTACAAAATCTACAACATGCCCCCAAGAGATACTTGATAAGCTCTCCATGATACTCTCAACTTTCTCGATAAGGTTAAACGCACTTTCTACCACCACTTGTACGCAAAACCATGAACAAGCGGTTATTTGCTATTCCCTAATGCTCAGCAGTGTATCTGTTCTCTCTTTAAACACCATCAACACTATTCTAAACACCTGACCTTCGCTTAATGCAATCTCCCAAAACAAATATTGTTTTTTTTTTCTCTCAATCCTACTAAGAATAACCACGCACTGTGTATATCATCGTGGTGTGTTGTAGTATATAATCATCAAAAGACTCTCACTGTAGAGAAACCACGTCCTGCGGCTTCCTTTATTACCTGGGGCGTCGGTACTTAAATTGATCTCCCTCCCTGTCTCTTGTTTTGTGCCTGCGGCTTTCTTTTTCCTGCA